TAAAGACCCAGGAAGTATGTTACTTACATGGGATAATGCTAATGTGCTGGAATGACAACTGGACTAAGGCTTGACAGTGAGTGACTGCAGAAACCTGTTAGCCTGCATCAATACAAGATGGATTAAATTTTCCTTTCCTCCACTGTACTGGCATAATCACAATTTAGAGATAAGAGGCAAATTCTGATCTAACATTTGCTTTTCTGCTTTTTTTTTCCTAAACAGCAGCAGGCAGGGTTGTGGTTTCATGATCTGCCAGAGCTGGCACAGCTGGACCCCATCATCTAACAACTGCTTTGGGCAAAAGTTTGGCCAGGGACATGGGACATGAAGCCAAACCCCTGTGGGTTTTGCCTGTCTCTCACCAGAACTCGTGTTTCAGAGGAAAAAGCCATTGGCAAGCATGTCTGTGTGAGGAAATGGTTTTGCTCCTGTGAAGTTTATGCAGAGCTAGGAAGGATTCTGGGTGGTCCATCAGGTGGGGATGGGAGAGGAGATGGCTGAAGGGGGTGTGTGTCACTGCCCTTAGTGAATTACGGACCTGCCCAAAGGAGCAGAGATTTCCCATTAACACCACGGGAGCTTCCAGCTCTCCAGGTGCTGCTGGCATCACGCTGGGCAGGGTGAGACTGCAGCTGCCTGTGCCTGACAGCAGGGAGTGCCAAACAGTGCAGGGGACCTGGGACATCAGCTCCTGCAACTGCATCTGCTGGCACATCCTGAGGTTTTCTGGGAAGCTCCTGTGTGTGTGCAGGCCCAGGGGCTGGTGCAAGGATTCCTGTGCAGACACAAACCCCCTGCAGGTGGAGGTTCACCATGGACAGCAGGGATGCAGAGCCAGGGCTGTGGAAACTGAGCACACGGTGTCTCTGCAGTGTCAGCCAGAGGCTGCTTGTTTCCCAAATAAAGTTTGGGAATAAATGGGCTACTGTGCTGAGCACTCTGGCAGCACAGCTCAGGAACAGAAAGCTGATGCTGGGAGCTGTCAGACCCAGCCCAAACCCAGGAATCACATCCAGAGGGTGCAAGCAGATCCACACCCCATCACTCTGGGACAGGAGGGTTTGAGCAAGGGGCTAGAATGCCAAGGCCTTCGATTTAATTTTTGTGAAATAGTGCTGGTGCTTTTTACTGGGAGTTGTGATGGTAAAATGTAGTTATGGTGCTTTCAGCTGGGGGTGAAGAGGGTGGTTCAGGATGTGGGGAAGTAACAGCAGGGCCATCCCTGGGAGATGAGTTAGATATTTTGTTCCAAATTTGAATTTACTTATCAAGATGTAATTTACCTCTTCAAGGCCACGGGATTTTTGTAAAAGATACAATGGCAGCCCATCCAGAACCATCCACTGGGGTCAGAGCAGCAGCACCCTAAAACCAGCAGATCCATGACTGAGAGGGGGTTCCCTTGGGTGTTTAGGTATCTAAAACCTGCTCATTTTAATGGGCTTATGCAAACTTACATAACTGCTGAATATCTATCGATTCAAATTTTGACAGAAAGTGCTGGTTTTCCAGTATATTTTATTTTTGGCAAGAAATACAATGGGACATGATTTTCTGCTTGTGCGTGCCTCCATCAAAGGTACTTTTGTAAAATGAATGAAGCTTTCTGGTACAGTCCTTTTGACCTATTTCATCACCAATTTAACTCATTGCCAAGAAAGAAAATGCAGCCAATTTGTCCTTGTTTATTTGTGGAGCTGTGATACAAAATGTAGAGGTAGAAAAGCTTTTAAAACTGGGACTGTTTAATGAATGAACTTTCAGTTATTTTCTCTATGGGCTGCTCACATTCAAGTCAGTAAGAACACAGCAAAATTTTGACTCTTACAGTCTCCATGGGTTTTTTTAAAGTCAGAACTGGCAAGGTTTGTTCCCTCAGGGAAGAGTTTCCAGAAATGGAAAGGTTCAAGCCTGAAAAAACTCTTTCCTGCAGAGCTGCCCTGTCTCCCACACCAATGAACAGCCCAGTGCCTGCAAGGTACTCTTGTCTTCCCCCTGTGAAAAATGGATCTCAAAAACCACGTCCAGACCCAGAACTGGATGGGAGGCACAGCTTTGCCCTTTTGTGTAGGGAAGGCTTTGAGGAGAAGTCTGCCAGGAACATGAGGTGCTGCAGAAATACGCTGGGAAGCTGAGGAGAAAGGCTTTGTCTGTGCTTGGAATGTTTGCCAGGACAGTCCAGCATCACTGTGCCAGTAGAGGTTGTTTTGTCACTGCCCTCTGCCCCTGGTCATCCTGCCAGAGACAAGGCAGGAGGATTCTTGCCCCTTGTTGGTACCTGGGACAGGTGGATGATGCCTGCCTTGGACTGACTTCACCGCTCTTGGGTAAAAACGCCTTTCAAATCTTGCTCGCGCTTTTTTTTTTTTATTTTCCCCCATGAAGTTATTTCTTACAACTTGGGCAGGGTCAGGTTGGATGGGGCCCTGAGCAAGCTGATCTAGTGGGTGGCATCCTGCCCATGGCAGAGGGTTGGCACTAGAGAGTCTTTAAGGCCCCTTTTATGTTCTGTGATTCTCTGAATAACACTCAAGACAAGCAAGGCTGGGTTCATCCATCAGTGTGGATGGGGATGTGTGTATTTTTTTGGAGGCATCAGACAAAGGTTGATTTTATGATGCAAAAGTGAGGGTTATCCAGGTTTTGAGGTGGTTTTTTTCCCCTGCTTTCCATATAAAAGCAGTTCATTATGCACCAGTTTGAAGCAGCAGTTCCTCAGCACGTGTGTGTGACCCTGCTGGCTTTAGAGAATCCATACAGAAAAGTTCTGGTACTGAGGGCAGCAACACTAATGGCTGGTGTAGTGACAGCTACGCTGTGTTAAATGTTTGTGCTCCCTGCTAGATATGAAGTATTTTCCTGCTTGTGCAAGAGTCCTAGGAAAGTGGCTACTTTTCTTTAATAATAATTGGTGTATTTTGCTAGATTTGTCCAAGGACTTGGAAAAACGAGTCCAACTCCTCAGTTAGAAGGAAGGAGGAAATCCTGTCCTCCCTCCCAAGAAGCAGCCAGTGCTTTTCTGACTTTTATGACACCAGATCAAATGTCTTAAATTTCATTCTATACACAAAATTGTGGAAATTTTACAGTGTTGGTAGAGCTGAAATTTACTTTTTCTCCTGGTGAAATGTTTAGGGTAAATGAAATTATTAGTATGTCTGTCATTTGTAGGCACAAATGTGTCTACACAGGGCTTTAATGTTATAGTTACTCTGATTAAACAAAATAGCCTAATCAAGTTAGTTATGCAGATTTGGGAACAAAACTAAAATATGAACATGAAAAAAAGAAAGAAAATTAAAATCCAGTTGTGTGAATCACATTGGTTCCTCCCCCACCAAAGAGCCACAGGGTTATAAAGGGTCTGATCACTTTATTTCTTTTTCTGTTCACATTTAACAGCACAGACACAGCTGAGATTTGAAACACCGATGTGACGCCAGGTGTGTGTGTGTGTGGTTTGTTTATACAGACATTTTGTTACTGAGCTCACATCTGCACCCTCTTTCCTTGGTTCCCAAATGTCTTGTTTCCCTGAGTTGCATGAATTCTGCCACCAGACCTGCTTGCCAGCCAGCGGGTGAGAGAACAGCGTGGACAGCCAGGTGCCTGTGGCTAGAGGTGAAGCAGGAGGTGATGCTGCAGTGCTGCAGTGCCTCAGTGTGGGTGTTTGCACGCAAATCCTGCACTCCTGGGGTGGGGAGGGGACAGGCTCAGGTGCCACCAAGGAGCAGCAACCAGCCCCTGGCCCCAGCAAGGTGATAGAAAAGACACTGAATATACAGAAGAGGCCAATTTCTCTTGTGAGTTCAACCTGAGCAGCTGAAGGTGTAACGGGGGGAAGTGGCCCATCGGTGTGAGCGGGGGGTTGGAGGCAGGAGAGTTCTGCTGACACACAATTCACTAGGGAGAATTAAAATTCATCAGGGACAGAGGGCTGTGGAGCAGCTGGGGACGAACACTAGAACCAAATGAACAGAAAGCTGCTATCACACATGCATGCTCCAGTGCTCTGTCAGCTCTGTGGGGCACAAAACCCACATGTTGGTGAGACAATATAAGCCATATTCATTAGCACAGAAGATGGAACGTTTTCTGGTTTGCCTTGAAATGGCACACTTGAGGTATGAAAATCTAATTTAAGGGGTTTATGAATCAAGTATGAGAATGTGTCTGCCTGTGTCCTTTAATGCAGGGTTTTCTATTATTTTCTCAGGTCACGATGGTTAAAAAATGCAAAATGTTCTCAATTCAACACTGCAGCAAACGAGCACAAATGCACGCCAGGCTTTACAGGGGGATGTGGCACTGGGACAGACTTTGAACAGAAACATGGGGGGTTTACAGGCAGGATACCTGTCCTCAGCAAGCTTTGGGGTGCAGTGGGGTGCAGTTAGGGACAGGTAGCCACGAACTCCTTACAAATATTGAAACAATTAAAAGCTTTCAAGTTCAAACACATCAAGTCATTCACAGTCAAACTGAACAGAACAAGTACAGATGATTTAGCTAGGAAAAAAAAAAAAAAAAAAAAGAGAGACTTTGGTGGGTGATTGCATTCCACATTTTTATAGCATCACTGTAGGCCTGAAGTCAGCACTGTCCTTGTCCCACTGATATATATTTTTAAAAAATATTTCAGTACAGTCACGTTCTAAGCCACTTCTGTGAAAGCATTTTTTTCCTTTCTACTTGGATGTGACATGAAGGTTATTTTTTTTAGCATGTTTAAAAATTATTCATTTCATACCTCTTTTTTTTTTTAAGAAATAATTTTCCTCATTCAGAGAAAAACATGATCTTACTTAAAAATTGGTATTATGAAAAGTGTATCAAATTTCCTGTTCACTACTCCAAAAAGGCAATTCAGTATTCTCTCTCTAGGGTCTGATTAGATGCTAGCAAAATTCTTAACAAAACTAAAGCTAACTCTGGAAAAATTCAGCTCAAATTGGCGCTGCTGAAGTCGTACAAACTCTGGAGTGAAGTGGGCCACGTTTGCCTGGCCAGGACGGCACAGCCTAGGTCTGGGCTAAAGTCAGCATTAAAAAATCAAACGGGCAAAAGCAGCACAAAAATAACACCTGGACCGTTGCCAAATTCTGTGACCGCCTCTCTCCTCTCAGAGTCCCAAACTTCAGGTTTTTTCCCTCAGACCTTTAACTGCCTGCACCGCGCCTCTCCGCCCGTCGGGGTGATGACCGCAGTGGCGCTCTCAGCCTTGGGATTCCCGTTCCTTGCCCTCTTCCCCTCCCGTTATGGCTTCCTGGGGGGCTCGGCGGGTGGTGCTGGGGTGCCTGGTGTCATGTGAGGACGCTGGGCTCTGTCCAGCCGCGGGAGCTGCCCTGCTTGCTGCTGGAGAGGCTCTGCTTGGGCAGGGCGCGGAGTCCGAACAGGCGGCAGGCGGCCACGCGGTACTTCCTGGACATGATGTTGTAGAGGATGGGGTTGATGGCTGCGCTAAGGTAGAAGAGGACAAAGGACACCAGGTTGCAGTACTGGCTGATCACTGCTATCTCCAGGGATCCGGCTTCGAAGGATTTGGAAAATAAGTACCGTCCTACGTGAAAAGGCAACCAGCAGAGTATGAACGCAAATACCACCACGACTAAAATAAAAACAGCAGAAGAGAGTGTGTTAAGTGTGAGTATCAACATACAGGTGATTAACATTCTGTTCTGCAGCTCTGTTCCTTTAACAAATTAATCACAAAGTGTGAAAATGCCTCCCCTAAGCTTTCAGTTGTGTCTCAGTACATTCTCTGAGAGTATAAATTGGTGATACTTAATGCACTTGGATCATACCTAAACAGGCTGCCTGAACATTGCCCAACTAATCTGTTGTAGCTAACTTCTGACCTATAAAACCTATGTTTGCCTCAACAGACTGTTAAAGAGTCCAAATGGTGACAAAATATAACTATCTGTCATCTGCAGTGTTTAACAAAAGCAAATTATATGTGATAGACTCAACACTGTGGTTTATAATGAAGAATGTAATCACTGGGAAGCAAAATTATTTAAGACAAAAAGCAAAACCGTTAAAGGCAAAGGCCCCAGATGAAAACACAGAATGGGAACTTGTAGAGCACATATGCCAAGATGAGGAGAGTGCTTCATCCCTCCAGTTTGTCCATTTTTTGGAACATGAGTTACTCCCAAGAACAGTAAAACTAAATGTGTAGTATATAACTACATAATTATAGTTCTACAGTATATCTATAATATTGTATTACTAGAGTGGTTGTATTTACATGTAAATATGTCTGTAGAATAATGGGAGTGTGTGTATCTCTGAACACTGGCCCATTTTCATCTGAGAGAAAGGGAAACAGTTTCTGTTCATTTCCTGTGCGCCTTTGACCTTTATTATTTTTCATATTGCTCTGAGTGTATCTATTAATATACTACAGAGAGAAAAACCAGGAAACTCGAGCAAGGGTTTCTGATATTCTTAAGCAATTTTTACAGTTAACCTGTTCATGGAATCACAGAACTGTGTGGGTTGGAAAGGAACTTAAAGAAAATCTTTTTCCAAGCCCCCTGCTTTCAGCAGAGACACAAGACCAGGTTGTTCAAAGTCCAGTCCAACCTGGCCTTGGTGGGCAGGTTGTGTTAGCAACCTGCTTGTGTTAGCTATCCTCATATCACGTCTCAGAAGAGAATGAAATTCAAATTACTGGGAGGAATGGTTATAGGTATCTTTCCCCGAAAATTCTGCACCAGCATTCCCAAGTTGTAAAAGATGCTTGTGCAGGACTTGTGGTGGAGTGGAAAGCACCAGAGCTTGAGGTTCAGAATAGGTTTTCCAGCTCTGCATCTTCTGGAGCCAACCACTTCCAGTTTTCCTCACTATCTTCACTACAAAATTCAGGTGATTCCCTAGCTCACATGGGGATTTGAATCCATGTAATGAATATTACCAAGATGGTCACTGTGAATGAGCAGAGTTTAAAGCACAGTCTGTTATGACTAGAATTTTAAGCACACATATGCATGCAATATCCCTAGTCAGGCTTTTGACAGTTTGATCTTCATGCATGCAGAAACCCATGGATTTCAATAGGAATGGGATGTGATAGCTCCTTTGCAGATCAGGCTATACATGTAGGTGTTTAATTTCAGTCCGAGAAGCATAACCTTTCTTTACAGTTAAAAGAACATCTGATGCTAATCCCATTTACTTGATGTTCCATGACTTAATAAAGCCTCAGAAAGCACCTTCTAAATTTTAAGCAGAACTTTAACACCAGTGACACTGCATTGAGCATCTGCTGCCACTGAGCCCTCACTAACTTCTTCCCATCTTTCTATCAGGCATCAGACTGTTATCATTTAGGGAATATTGGCTCTCTGTCAGAGGAGAGTCTTGCCACTGCCTGGCTGTTCTCAGACCTTGTAAAAGGAAAAAAAAAAGAGTGCCTGAAATATTGCAATGCTTGTGGCAACACTTCAGAGCAGAAATAAGCATTTTTTATTTCAAAATTATTTTCAGTTAAGTATATGGAAATATAAGCATGGTAGTAACATATGTAATTTACGTCTAGTCAGTGGAAGTTCATAATCCTGAACCTCTAGAAGTGTGAGCAATTAATTACTTTCAAGGTCACGCTTACCAGACTGAAGTAATTCTATTGATCATAAAACGTAGCTGAAAAGGCATAAAGAATGCTGTGGGTTTTATTATTCTTCCTGCTGTTGCATAGTAATAAATTAGGACATGAACAAAAAGATCAGATAGGCTCCTATCTGATAATTAAGGTACTTAGGACTCACTGCCACCTCTTGTCTGCCTCATTAGCCCACCACTTCAACCCTGCTGAAAGGAGCCTGTGAAAGCTTCTCCCTGCAGAGCATCTTGTCCCCCCAAAAATCCACGGGATGACTTGCACTGCAGAGGACTTTTGGCTTGGATAAAAGTACGCAGCAGCAGCAGCAGCAGGATTCTGCAAATTTCAGACACCAAACTGCAGGACAACTTTTTGGGTTTGTGTTTCAGACTGCCACTACATGCAGTGACTTAGTTAAACATTAAAACTTGTGTTTCCATGTGCCAACCACAAGTGCTGTTTAAAGCATTCAGCAGTGTCGATACACAAAGTTAGGAATGACAGTGTTTGTTGTCCTGATCCTGTTTTCTGACAGTCTGTGAGATTGTACAGCATCACAGACCTCAAAGGAGACTCGGTGCTCCTGGTTCACCATATCCTGGGGTTTTGCTAATATGAACATGCAGATTAATTTTCATAAGCTTACACAGCCATGGTAGGAAATAACCCCAATTTGTTAAAACCTTGATATTCTTTTCCTATGAATCTTAGTGCACATCATGCCCTGCCTGCCTGGCTGTAGTCTGCAGCTCAACTTCATGGCTTGAGAAGGGTTTAGTTTTGTTTAAAAATGAAATAAACTGTTCTCTGTAAATAACATTGGTATCCACAACCAAAGAGCAAAAATGCTCAAAAATCTCCAGGGCACAAGTTAATTATAACTGCAGTATTTGTCCTTGTCAGGGATTCTTACTAATGTTTGTTTAACTGTTTGGGAGTCCCCAGCTCAAACCAGTTAGAAACAAATCTAAGGGAGAAGGAGAGTTACCCTACAGCTACCCTGAGGTTTAGCCTTTTGTATGAAATGTTTTCTTTCCTTTGAAAGGAACTATAGTAAACTATCAGAGAGCTCCTTGTCTTTCTCTCTCACACACACACAAGCACACACATCCTTTTGGTAAAACAGAGCAAGAGGACTCGTACCTAACATTTTCACAGTTTGCTTGTTGTTCTTATCCCTGATGGCAGTGTTTGGACCGATGTTCTTTCTCTTCCTCCTCCAGAGCTTCCTCCCGATGAGGCTGTACAGCACGGTCAGGCAGAACACGGGCAGGAAGAAGAAGATGCTGGAGGTCCAGACCATGATGGTGAGCAGCCCCGAGCGGATGGCGTACTCTGTGGCTCGGCACTCGTTGGTGCTCAGGGGGTTCGTGCCGTTCTCGTGCTCGACCCCCACCAGGATGAAGATGGGGCCGGCGCTGATGAAGGAGATGGCCCAGAGGAAGAGGATGACCAGCTTGACCTTCCCCTTGGTGATGATGACTTTAGCTCGCAGGGGGAAGCAGATGGCGACGTACCGCTCCACGCTGAGCGCCGTGATGTTGAGGATGGTGGAGTAGGTGCAGCTCTCGCTGATGAACTGGAAGAGCTTGCAGAGGAGGTTCCCGAAGTTCCAGGGCCGGTACTGCCAGAGGCGGAAGAGGTCCAGGGGCATGCAGAGGAAGATGAGCAGGTCGGAGAAGGCCATGCTGGACAGGTAGAAGTTGGTGGTGGTCCTCATGTCCCGAAACCGCGACACCACCAGCATGGTCATGAGGTTGCCGATGATCCCGATGACGAAGAGCAGGACGCAGGCGACGGTGATGCCGGTGAGCACGGGCACGGGGAACAGGTGCAGCGGGGGCTCGGCGCCCGTCCGGTTCTCCGCGCCGCGGCCGCCCGCGCTCCCCTCCCGCATCCTGGCGCCGCGGGCTGCGCATCCCCGCCCGGCGCGGCGCGGCCCGGCCCCGCGCG